GGGAGCCCAGAGCAGAGGGCGGGTGCCCAGGGCAGGACAGATGGACAGCAGCTCTAAGGGATCCCCAACCACTGGGGGCACGCACCTCACCTGGAGGCTCATTACTCGCCACCAGACAACCCCGGCTTGGCATTCAGTGGGTCTGGGGGGAGGCCCTGCCCTTTGAAGACCACTGGTCTGGGGAATAGCCTGCCAGGCCTGCCCTCCCTCTTCCCCCAGTGCACAGAGCCCTGGAATGTGCTGGGCTGCACCACCCATGCCAGCAGGAGCATCGGAGCCCACCTCGGAGAGGGCTGGGTTCCAAGTGAGAACACTGGCACGCCGGGCATGGGAGGCAGGGGGCCCTGCTCCTAACATTGTTCACAAAAACACAAAGTCCTTCGTAAAAGCAAGCAGAGGCTTTCATTTTCATAGAACTGAGCTCTACCATCTCTCACTGGCGCTTCACTCGCGGTCCCATCTTTGCCTACGGTGTTAGAGCTACATAATTGTGCTAAACCAGCTGATTGCAACACAGCGACAGCTCCTTAATTCATAAAAAGAACCCGAGCACAGTAAGACAGAAACACCATGCTATAAAACAGGTCTTCCTTAAAATTCTCTTTAGAGAGAGGGAAAAGGAACTTCCTGTTTGTTTCACAATCACACACATTGAATTTCTCTGAGAAAGTCAGGCAAACAGGAGGAAATAAGAGAGGAAAGACTGTAAGTTAATGGTGCTGTCTTACTCTTGAAACTTCCCTATTTTCTATCACATTCCTCATTGAACTCTTTGTTGCATCTTTAGTCTTAATGAGGCTGGTTGATTAGACTCACATTTATGAGCAGTGTTCACACTACAGTCTTTAAAGTATGGTTTCACACACAGAATGTTATGTGAAAAGAGCGGAACATGTTCAATTTGTGCAGGATGACAGCTTTGTGTGTGTGTGTGTGTGTGTGTGTGTGTGTGTGTGTGTGTGTGAAGAAGATCAGCCCTGAGCTAACATCTGCCAATCCTCCTCTTTTTTCTCTGAGGAAGACTGCCCTGGGCTAACATCCGTGCCCATCGTCCTGCACTTTATATGGGACGCTGCCACAGCACGGCTTGCCAAGCAGTGCGTCAGTGCTCCACGGCCCCGGATCTGAACTGGTGAGGCCCGGGCCGCTGCAGCAGAGCGCGTGCACATAACCACTTGCGGCACCGGGCCAGCCCCGACAGCTGCTGTTTATACATGACAGGTTAGTCAGGCACAAATCACACAGAACCTCCCACCCACCGTCCCTGGCACTTACCGACGTGGCCACTTTGTTTTTTGGTGGGTGGGGGGTGGGGTGGGGTGGTGGTCAAAGCATTTTGCTTTAGGATCATTAAAAAATATCCAGGAAAGAATCTGACCAAACAGGCAAAGTACTGGCTTCTCTATTTTTGGGGAGGGGGGGATTATGCTCTTAAATACCATTGATTTTACATGTTATCCTTTACACACATTTCTCCCACTTATTTCTGGAGATAATGAGCTGAAAAGCAGTAATACTAACTCCACTCAAGGCCCAAAATATGAATGGAAACATGCCTCCCTGACAGAAAGGCTTTCAGAGCGTAACCTGGGCAGCCAAGCGACATTCCAGCAAAGAGCCTTTGCAGTCTGGATGTTGTAATTCACGGTGCATCTACAGCGCCCTCTAATGGCCATGGGGCAATTCATTCCATTCCCAAGTACAAAATCCCGTTGCACATTCTTTCAAAATTAAATCTGAGTTACACTGTCATAATTGCTCTTAAAAAACAAAGTAAGCAAGGTGACCAAGTACTCTCAGGGCGGAAAAGTACATCTCAAGTATCACACACAGGCTGATTTTGTGCTTGGAATGAAAAGCCGGGACTTCCTAGGCAGGAGCACTGGGACAAGGTTCTGACGTCCATTAAGTTCACTGGCCACACTGATCATCACCCCTCCTCACCGCCAGTGCCCCACTCGGAAGAGCTCCTCAGGCTCCTGTGTCCAGTGTGGCCAGACCAGAGCGCAGCCCAGCACAAGAGTGGCTGCAGGTGCAGCGTGCTAGGCCAGCCGGCTGCTCATTAAGCTGCATGGGACCCAGCATGGGCTGCCCGGAACCTGTGTGCTTCCTGGGTGCAGACCTGGACCCTGGCCTGAAGCCCCACCCAACTCCAGGTTCAAATGTTTATTCACTTTTTTGTGTTTATTCATTTTTTTTTAAATGATAAAACTCTACAACAATGTTCTGCTTGGGTACCAGAAATTAAATTTAACAACAGCTTAAAAGTGCTTCCCCCTCTGAGGGTGACACAACACCACAGGCAAGGTCGAGGCCACTAAGATCAAGCCACAGCCCAGAGCGGACATTGACAAGGAAACTCCACGCCCCCTGGGGGCCAAACGAATGGCGACCAGCAGAAGATGGCAGGTGCGACCTACTCTCTGCCCAATAAAAACACACGAAACTGCTGAGATTAAGAAATGTTTAGAACCATAGGACAAATCCATCCACCAGGCAGACTTTCCAAAATCTGTGGGCTCTGCAGACCTGGTCCTCTCCCAGCCTTGCCTCTCTTGCACTTGGCAGCGCTAAGCCCACTGCTATGTGGGAAACGTACACCGAAGACTCCAACACCCAGACCCACAAGACACAAAATCCAACTACTGTGTCCTCAGCTCCCCTCACCTGACCACAGGCTCCGAGCTCAGGTAGCCAACTGCCTGCCTCCTTGCCTTCTTGGCTCTGCAAGGAAACAGTCGCGAAGGTGCTATACCCCCACCTCCACCCTGCCTGGGTCTCCTCGTCCACCCTCCCCACACAGCCTCATCTTACAGGAGCTCCTGAAAAGTGGGGAAGTTATGTTTCTCCCTAGGTGACTACACACACACAGGGCTTTCAATAGCCTCCACAGACTATCAACTTCCTACTTCTGCCCTGATCCTGTCTGAACTCCAGACTTTTGCCTGTAAAAGCTCCCTGCCACCCTCATTTGGATGTCTCACGGTTTCCATGTTGCAAACACATGCCTAGGATTTGTGATTCCTACCACCTAACCTGTGCACCTGTCCCCAGTCCCAGGTGCCCAACTCAGTAACCTGGGAATCTTGAACCTACCTACCTCTCACCCCAGTTCATGACCTTAGCATTGATTAGGTGCATGATTAGGAGGTATGTCTTACCTCCAAGACATACCTGAAATCCATCTACCCTTGATCGTCTGCACTGCCACCACTGTACTCTCTCCTCTACCTCCCGGCAGCTCTCTCTGCTTCACCTCTAGCCCTCCTCACATCCCTTTGGCACAGAACAGCCCCAGGGAGCTGTAACCTCATATGACACCTCTGCTCCAATCTCCCTATGAGCGTAAATAAGCCCAGGGCTGCCCAGGCCCCAGTGACTGGCAGTCACCTGCATAATCAAACACACACCTGTCTCCTTCAACAGTGTGTTCTGGCTCTACCAGCCTCCTCTCCGCACACACAGGCTCCTTCCCTCTCAGAGCCGCACTCACCTGTCCAGGAGAGACACTCGTCCCCCACTCTCAAGGCTGGCTCCCTCCTCTCAGGTCCTAGCTCACATGTCACCTCCTCAGAGGGACCCTTGATCAGCACAGAGAAAGAGGGGAGTGTCTGCTGTTCTCCTGCAGACCTCATGTTCCCTTCATTGCACTCACCACAATTTTTGACTGTTGACTTACTGGGGTGATTATCTGGGGTTTCTCTCTACCAGTAAATCACAGGTCTTTGAGAACCTGGCCCTCGCTGCCTGTTCACAGCTCCTCCCAGCGAGGCCCGTGGCATGGAGCACATGCTCACTAAACACTGGTAGAAAGAAGGAACACACCAACAAAAAGCTTCCAGAGGGCAATGCAGAGTTGTTTATAAATCTCAGTTATGTTTGTTATAATTACTTAAAAAACAGGAAGAAGGAGCAACAAAACAGTTGTCAGATGTAATTTTTAAAGAGCAGCAATCGTAATTAAACAAATAAATCCAATCCTGAGGGACAATCAGCACTTAATTTTATCTGGTATCACTAGAGCATCTCAGAGAATACTCAAAACCAGTTACACACTGGCAACGGAACATGTTCTGTCCAGAAGGGAAGTCTCCTTGGGAACGGCCATTTTCTTCTATCTTCAGTTAGAGTCGAGTATTTTCTTCATCTTTGGTTAGAGCAGAAGTTAACGCCAAGTGTCACTCTTTACTGATCAGAACAAGAATGTGCATGGCTTCCTTTTATTTTTTATTATAAAAAACACATACAAGAGTTTTAAGAAATGATGAATATAAGACAAATCAGAGCCACAGTGAGTTATTAAACCCATTTTCTATGTACAAATACTAAAATTCCCAAAGTGGAATATCATCAAATGTGAAACACATTATAGCACTGTCCATATATACAGGGCACACACAGAGATCTGCCTGCGCTTGTCTCTGAATCGTTTATGTACATGTCGTTGATATAAAAACCCGCAGGTGAACTTCTCTTCAGCTGTCCTTTTCCTGACCTACACTTAAATATTTTTAAGGAAATTTAGAGATGTGAAGAAAATGCATTAGTGAGTTTCTAAGGGCTCTCCCTGTGTTTGACTCTGATCAGGTACGCACTGTACCTTGAGGAAAACTTCTGTAGCCCATTTCTAGCTAAGATAGTGGAAGAGACTTCTAGCTCTTTTTTAGCCAGTTCATTTTTTCCTAGTCAGTCAATTGAGTGCAAAGTCCAAAATTAGCTCACGAACCAAATCGATGCTTTTATATTAAATTCATTATAAAACGCCACTCAATTTTAAAAAGCGACTAAAAGGACACCTTCTGCAGCAAAAAAGGGCTAAGTTCAAGTTTTTGTTGTTTGACCAAGACACAATAAAACAATCCATACATCACGTAATCACAACAGCCATAAATGAAATCTATGTGGTGTGGGGGAAAGAGCTGGGCCACTGCTGGTTTCTCCTGTCTTTGCCACAGGCAGGAGATCCTCTTGGCATTTTACCTCTTTACGTCTTTCTCTGCGAAACCTCGGTCTATAACCTACTTATCCTGGAGAGATGGAAAGGCACTTCTCTAGACGCACTGATGCATCGTGGCCTAGCCGAGCTCCTCTGCGCACAAAGCGCTGACTTCCTCTAGGGCGCTGACCACTGCAGAAGGAACACTGTGAGAGGTCTCTCTGCGCCAAGCTTCTAGGATCTTGGATATTTCCGCTGGATTGCTGGGACTCAAGTCACAAAGAGCGTACACAGCTGCTAGCTGTATACCCCATGGTATATCTGAAAAGAATTTTCTCATCAGTCATCACACAAGAAAATGTTTATTATTCACCACTTAAATGTTGTAATGTACTAAAATACTATTCAAATACAGAATACTTCCTGCCAGCAATGAAAATTAAATATAAAAGAAAAAACCCACAATGAAAAAATTAATTTAAGACTCGTCTACAAATGTAAAAAAACCCAAAGAGCGGCACAGCTGTATGCAGGTTCCTGGTGCTGGCCTGTGACCCCAGGACAGCTAGAGCATCAGCAGAGGGCCCAGGGCCTCAACTGCCCTCAGGAGCAACACTAAGCCTTCCAAAGCAGTTCTAGAAGGATCATACACCCATATTTAAGTTTTAATAAAACATTGGATCTCAAAGCATTTGTCAAATAAATGACTCTGTTAAGTATCCACTGGAAGTGTTTATAAGTGGACTCTGCAAATGAACTACATAATGAAAGGAGATCAAATGAAAAACTATTTTTGTGCCATACTTTCATATAACAGATTATATGATTAGAAATTATAGCATATGATTGTAGATTATACCTAGGTTATAGATTACGGCATATTCAAGTGTTCATTTAGCATAAGTTTATTTGGGAATTATTTAATTAAAATTTAATTTAGTTAAGTTTTAAAGTTTAATTCACTTAAACAAATTTGTTGAAAAAATTTCAGAGTTCTGCTTGTGCAAAATAACAAATGTAGAAAGTAATAAAAAAAAATAGGAGTTATTTCATTAAAATGTATTATTAACTAGCAGATTTCTGTTAGCGATGCAATGTCCAACAGGGAAAAGTACTACTACTTAAACAAACAACAACATTACAAATCCCACATATTCAAATGTTAACGGTGAAAATGTAGGTAGTACTGCAGCTTTTAAAATTACTTTTCCCCCTAATCTACAAGGCAATCACAGAAGCACAGAGCAGGGCACACAATAAGGACTTTAAAAAAAAAGAAAAACGTCTAACAGCAAGAGAAACACAGCCATTTAAAGAACAATGTTAATAAGCAAGCACACGTGGCCCTGCGTGAAGAGCTGGGGCTCTGCAGTCAGGCAGACCTGGGCCCCAAGCTGGCGTGGTGCTGACCAACTTCAGGTCTCAAGCAAAGTACCCTTCTCGCGGGGGCTTTAGTTTCCTCATTTACAAAAGAAAGTCAACACCACCCCCTCGGAGGGCTGTCCCAGGGATCCCTTGGGACTCTGTGGGGCAGGGCCAAGCAAGGTGCCTAACCCAGAGGAGGCCCAGCGTGAATGCATTCTCCTTCTTCTTGAGGAGGAGGTTCATGTTGCTTCTAGGAAATGCCCAACCCAGCACGCATTGGCAAGACAACTCATTAGCCACTCTTCTAGCTACTATCTTTTATAGTCAATAAACAACCTAGACTGTAAAAATTACATTTTCCTATGGAAGACATGTGCATTACCTCAGCAGCTATCCTAAAATCAAAGAAGGTTCTTCAGAGAAAGAACCTTCAAACTGTTCTCATTAAGCCCAACCTACCAAGTCTCACCCTGAAAGCTAAAGACAAAAAACCTACCATGTTAAGATTATCTTGGATGTAATGCAGTATTTCAGATGTCACTTTGTGTGTTTCTGATGAGAAGGTGTTTAACTACATCACTCCTTGATTGCATAACATTCAAAGAGAAACAAGACTCATCACTTAGTAGGGCTACTTTGAGTTAAGCCCCTCCCACAAAAGAATAAGCCAATATAAAGTTACATGCTATGCAGTATGTAAATTAAAAAGAAATCTATGAATACTTGCTCACAAGGTTTCAGTTTCCCAAATTCTCTCTCGATGCTGAGTACTCAATAATACCTGGTACCTCACTGGGGCTGCTGCTTTATATACGTGATCTCATTTGGTCATCATGACACAGCTTCAGCCGGGGGCCTCCAGGGACTGCCCAGGTTAAGTCACTTGTCAGAGATCACAGGGCAGCGTGAAGACAGCACAGAGTTTCTGAGACAGAATGTGAGCACCAGGATGAGAAGAGAGCTTCCTCTTCCTTACAGATGCACTGCCCAATAGGGCGGACTACCACCATTTAAACAACACCAACCCACACGCTCAAACGTCAATGCTGAAAATGTAGCCAGACTGCAGCTTTTAAAATTACTTGTATCTCCTAATCTATAAGGCAGTGAGAGGCATACAGCACGGCACACAACAGTAAGAGGAATGCAAGTGATTGAAACATAATCCAAATGAACAGAAGTGTTACCTTCATCCTGGGCATGTTGTATAAACATACCAATAACCGAACTAATATTTTTCACAGCAGATGGAAACCCTTCCTTCAAACCCAATTGGCCCAAGCGACCTAGGAAAAAAAAAAATCAACCAAACTGTAAACAATCTTTGGTTAAATGTTGATTAACTTTCCATAAGAATTTAAAATTTACGTTTTCTTTTATATAACATTACGTACCTTAAGCTTAATGATCCTAAACTGAAGTTAAAGTGGGTACCCATTCTTAAGTAAAAACAGATTAAACAGTTAAGCATCAGGACTCAACAAAGCACCATTTGTCTCACAGGGGGTGACCAAAATGACTAGTCATCTCTTTTTTTATTCACACATACAGACGATATACAATGTGTTGCTTTCTTAGTTAAGTAAATGGAATGTAGAAGAATATTCAGTTTCAGCATGCGCAATATGAAATGGCTAACTTCTATTAGGTTAACAGTCCAAACATAAGACTGCGATCCCATGAAACACACATTTTTGTTTTTCTTGGTGAGGAAGATCAGCCCTAGTTAACATCTGATGCCAATCCTCCTCTTTTTGCTGAGGAAGATTGGCCATGGGCTAACGTCCGTGCCCATCTTCCTCTACTTTATATGGGACACGGCCACAGCATGGCTCAACAAGAGGTGCGACAGTGCACACCCAGGATCCAAACCTGCGAACTCTCGGGCCATCACAGCAGAGCGTGCGCACTTAACCACTATGCCACCGGGCTGGCCCCACTGAAACGTGCATTTTTGGTATATCTCTTTACTATTATAATGTAGTCATGTGTCACTTACAGATGAGGATACATTCTGAGAAACATTAGGTGGTTCTGTCCTTGTGTGAACATCATAAAGTGGACTTACACAAACCTAGATGGGTATAGCCTACTACATACCTAGGCTGTATGGTACTAACCTTACAGAACCACCATCAGACGTACGGTCCATTGTTGACCGAAACGTCTCCAGGGTGGTCCGCAGACCCCCTGGAGTCCTCAAGGTCAAAACTACTTCCACAACAATGCTAAGCAGTTATGTGCCCTCTTCCCAGTGTTGAGATGTGGACCGACAGTGCAAACCAATGGCCGATCAAGGACCCTCAAGGCAGTGACAACACGCTGCATGGGGGTCGTTCTTTTAGAAAAAATCCCATTTCATTTAAGAACGTCCTTGATGAGGCAGTCACAATTACTCTCATTAAATCCAGACCCTCCCACATACAGCTCTGCAATCTTCTGTGGGTGGAGCAGGAGTGCACAGGAAGCAACCCCACTGCACGCCCAGGCACACTGGCCATCTCGAGGAAAAGCACTTGTGCAGCTATTCCAGCTGGGAAGGGACCAGGTGCTTTTTCCTTGAAACACTCACTTTTCATTGAAAGAATGACTGACAAACTATGACTATTCAGACTGAGGCAGACATTTGCTCAAAAACGAATAAAGTGAGCCTGTCACTGCAAGGAAATTTGTCATTGTTGTCAATGATAAATAAAATCTGAGCTTTTAAGCAAAATCATAATTTTAGAAAATCTTCCATCAGCCACCCTGAGCTTGACAAGCTTCAAATACTTAAGACTTCTCTGATGAGATCAGTGATGATATTAATGTGTTTTCTTGAGACTGCTGACATATGGAAGATCTGTGCAAATCAGTATTTTCCCAGTGAGCAATGCATGTTACAAAATCACGAATGGGCAAAAGATCCCCTCCATGCGCAAGCTAGACTAACGGACTGTAGGGTAACAGAGCAGGAAAGTTAACTGGAAAGGTTTTACACCGCAGCCAGCGTTTAAGAAAGATGCATGTCCACGATTATCCGAAAGGGCTATAAAATACTCCTCCTTTTATCTACTACATGTCTCTGTGAGACTGGATTTTCTTCATATACTTCAACCAAAACAACATATTGCAAGAGACTGAATGCAGAGCAGATCTGAGAAACCAGCTGTCTTCTATTGATCCACACAGTAAAGAGGTGTGCAACAAGACAATGCTATTCGTCTCACTGTTATTTTTTGTTTATTTTGGAGATATAGTTATTTTTCATTAAAAATGTCACTTATGTTAACATGAGTCTATTATTGTTAATCTTAAATGAATAACTAAATACTTTTAAAATTTCTCAGCTTTAATTTCTAATACATTAATAATTGCTAGATATAACCTGCAGTGACAACAGCTCTTTGGGGGTTCTCACTAGAGGAACTAAAGCCAACAGGATGTCACCATTCACCTGGTCCCCACTCATCTGGATGCTTCCTGTATCCAACGATCTTGTGGATACTAGCTTGCTTCAAGGCAGAACTATCCTCCCCTCCCCCAAGGCCAGGCTGTATCTTCTTTTGCTCCTTCTCTTACATAACACAGGAGGAGCATTCAGGGACACACCTTGGATATGCTTTCACCCAAGTTCTTTCCCTGTGCTTTTATGACAACGTTACCCTGTACGCTCATTGTTCAGGGTCCGTGTTCTCTCTCAACACTACAAACATCCCACAGGTTTACACATGAACAGTCCATCAGCCTCATCTCTATTTTGAATATGGAGAAACTGAGGCACAGGTCACTGAAGGAACTTTTATTACATCGTATCTCCTACAGGAACTAGCTTAGTGCAAGCTACATGCACCCTGAATGCTGTGAGAGATAGCAGACATTCGGTAAATTCCTTCTGATCGATGAATACCTGGATAATTCCTAATCCAGGATGCAACTGGAAATCTGGATAATTCCTACACAGTTTTTCCCTGAGGTTGCAAAGTAATGCACTTCAGAGATCAGAAATTTCAAGTTACTGACCACTCTTAAAAATCTCCTTGCAATTAGATCAAGCTGCTGCTGCTAACTGCATGCCACCAGATCTGTCCTCTGAGACAATCTATCCGGTGTATTCCAAACACAACTAATAGCAGAGAAATGAACAAGGCATGTGCTTAACACAGCGATGGGATCATTCGGCCATGGGATGTGTGTGTTCCCAGGTAATATGTGACTGCACTATAATGGTTCCCTTTCTTCCAATTAGAAGTGCGTAATGAATTGGGTTTTAAAAGTTATTTAAATTAACAGAGCTGCCAGGGATAAAATAAGAGGAAATCATAAGTCTGAGGTAGATGGTTTGGGGAAAAAACTTAAATATATGATGACTTGATGAAAATGATGGACAAATTTGCTAAATTGATGGGAAGAAAAGCCCCCACATAGAAGGAATCTAAGTGAGTCCAGGGTGGTTTAGTCAATTTAAAATACAAATAAGAAATGCTGAATTAATCTCAATGTCAAAGACAACACACTCCACTGCATCCTCAAGGTAGCATGAGGAGAGCTGGGGGCCTGAGGGAAGGTGATCGAGTCTACAGGGCAGAACTAAGACCAAGATAAAGTCACCCAGGGGTTTCACTCAGGATTTTAGATGCAAGTGTGCTAAAGAAAGGATGAGTTGAGACAATTCCAAAGAAACGCTGGAAGACCTGGCAAGAGAACGGATACAAATCGACAAGTAAAAGTTACTTCAGGCGGACCTATAAAACATGCTGTAAGAAACAGTGTTATCCTAGCTTCTAGGCTCCAGGAAATACTAGGTGGGGCATTTCAGGATTTAATAAGCTATTTGGGGCAAAAGTGGTTTAGCTTATACTCCACAGAATCCAGCGGTAGGCAAACTTCTGCCCCAGCTCTGCTCCCTTCCCACTGAGTGACCTCAGACAAGGGCTTAACCTTCCAGGTCTCAACTCTGCCAAGAAATGAGCAAAGTGGAGCAGGTTCCATCACTCTTCCACGTTCCCATGAAGCGAGAGCAATTCAAACATTCCACAAAATGGTCTCTAATACATTATCATTAAGGGAGGTTAGAAGAAAGCCCATTCAATATTCACATAGGACCATTGGTTAATAGCAATGTTCACATCCCAATTTAACATTAGATAACACTGAATCATTTTGACAGAGAGCATGTTTTATTTCCCATGGAGTAAAAATCGAATTAATTAGGATTTTGCAAATTTGGAATTAAGAACAAAGACAATTCCTTTATTTTATGAATGATTAGGGTGTTACTTCAGCTAACATTATTAAATCATGGCCTGCAACTTATTTGTTAAATCCTTTAGTCAACGTCAGCTTCAGAAACTGCAAGAAGGTTCTCTGAGTTTCTTCTTGGAAACAGTTCAAACTTCAAATCCAACAACTGCGTGCAGGAGAGTCCATGCACATCCAGCCCTAACACCCTTTCTCTGAATTCTGCCAGGCCTAAAAAGCAGGCAGGCCTCACTTCTTTCGGCCCTTCCCGTCAGCCTTGCCCCAACACTATGCCCTCAGCACCCAACAAGTACTTTGCTCAGGGCCTCCAGCACCAACAGACAACCAGAAGAAGCAAAGCTACACCTATCTTCTTGCTGCACCTTAGCTCAGCCTGCCCTGGTCCATCTGCAGAACTAAGCAGGATTCACCAGTCCTGACTCTCCTCTTATTTTTGACATTACACTTCCCTTCTAGTTATCCATCCTTGGAACCACATTTATCTACTGACATATTATCATTTTATTATACAGTATTGTTAATTATATTAATTATACGTCAATTATTCCCATAACATATATAATTGTATTATATATCATGCTTTACTATGTAAGTATACATATATTGCTCTAAATAATACATATTATTAAATGTTATAAACTATTTTCTCAAAAGCCAGAATTTTAAAGATTTAAAGAATAAACTAGCCTGAGTTTGACTAAACCTCAAAGTCAGGTTTTCTCCCTACAATTATATATTCCTGTTTTTAGATAAACTATTAACATATTCTTCTGAATTTACATATGGGTTACTTTTTAAGATATATATTTGAAAGCACTTACATAATCTTGTGCAGTTTTGTTTGGAGCCTGAGAAGTTGTATTTTTAAAAAAGCTTCTCAGGCAATTTGGACAAACAGCCAAATCTGATAAGTACAGATTCATAAGAGATGAGTGCAGGAGAGAATCAGATGTAAGGCAGATCCTCCACCACAGATGAACAGAGACTGCTTTCACACACTAGGACAGAGTCAACCACTAGAAATAAAGCCTGCCACAATCCTTTCCTCTCTTGTTACAATAATAAATACATAAACAGATAACCAATGCAGCAATAACAGCAAAAATTATCATATTTGACTTTAAAAAGCATTACATTCTTTTGAAAATTCCACAGATATTTCATTTAGGTCAACATACGTGATAATGTCTCTCCTAATTTTTTAAATTCTCAAAAAGATTTTGCAATTTAGAACAAATTAGTTCAAAGTATGAACATTCTTTCTGGAATCCATAAGAGAAGCTGAACTTAAACCAGAATTTCCAGAAATAGAGATGCCCCCTGACTGCTGAAAATGCCATTGGTGGCCCTCTGTGTCCTTACTACTTCCTATTTGGAACAGAAATTGGGACTGAAATCGTTCTTCAGGGTATCTTGAACCGAGGAATTCAGCAAAATACGTTTTTGTGTGTGTGTGTGTGTGAAGAAGATCAGCCCTGAGCTAACATCCGTGCTAATCCTCCTCCTTTTTTTTCTTTTGCTGAGGAAGACCGGCTCTGCACTAACATCTACTGCCAATCCTTCTCCTTTTTTTCCCCAAAGCCCCAGCAGATAGTTGTATGTCATAGTTGCACATCCTTCTAGTTGCTGTATGTGGGACGCAGCCTCAGCATGGCCAGAGAAGTGGTGCCTTGGTGCGTGCCTGGGATCCGAACCCGGGCCGCCAGTAGCGGAGCACGCTCACTTAACCGCTAAGCCACAGGGCCGGCCCAGCAAAATACGTTTTGAGACAGTACCCTCTGAGCACAGTTATTCATTTCCAGTTCGGTGACTTTGTCTTGGCATATCTCTCTTCCAACTCCTACACAGTCTTCAGCAATCATTTGATTCTCACACACTCTTGTTTGGTCACTCCAAGTGTATTTTTGGTCATTTCCAGTGAAATTAGATGTCTACCTCGAAATCAGGTTGTTGTCTTCAGCCATTTTATATAGTTTCTTAGAACAATGTTTCTATGTTTGCATGTAAAGTATGCACAGAGCAGGAATACATATTTGGGGATGTAACAGCAAAATCAGCCAGAGACTATTTCCTACTGTGATCTATTTATAAGACTTACTTATATAACTTAAATATTCTCAAACCTTATCTCAAATGGTATTATCTTGAAGTTTTAATTAATTAAACTACAAAGATACTTAAAAGTCATGGTAACTATCTTCAAGGATCTAAAGGGCCATAACACAGAGACCAGATCAACCCAGCTTTGGGTGCCCCAGGGGCACTGAATCCACATTGCAGATAGAGAGCAAGTTCAAATAAGGAGAGCCTTCTAGTAATTAATAGATCTCATCACTGATGATTCTGCAGAGCCTGGAGAGCAGCTTGTCAGAGATGAGGCAAAGAAGAAAAAATAAGTAAAAAAAAAAAAATAAAGATTTGTGGGTAATAGGGAGGAGCAGAACTAAATGGCCATTGAGGTCCTCTTTAGATCTGAAGTTAAAAAGAAATTTATGTTTCATTTAAAACACTTTTAAACAATGATTTTAATTTCTGCATATTCAGCTTAGAGGAAAACAAAACTATTGTAGCTCCCAATTATGGAAGTGCATAAAGTGATCCAAGTATGAAAAGAATTGGGGTCCAAGGAGTGGGGAATATCCTTATTTCAGAAACCAAATGAGACTATAGTATAATTTATAGCAATTTATAAGTGTGAGTATGTGTGCATATTAATATTATCTGAGAAGAGCTCGATTATAAATAAAATGTACTAATGTGAAAAATCTTAATCTCCAACAAAGATGAACAAACATTAATTAATAAAGAAAGAGTACAAGTAAGGAGACTGAATTTCAAAAGTATCTACTCTGATGGTTGTAAAATCAGTCGTTATGGTGTGATTTCAGTCAACATATCTTATTGTATACTTATTCCCCCATCAAGATATCATCAATAATAAGGAAAAGTTTAATACAAGAGACAACTCACCAATCAGCCTCAGGACTGAAGCAATGATAACATCAGGAGTGTGTGCGATGTTTGCATGTCCCTTTCTGTACTTTATCCACTTATCCATGACAGGCCACAGCTCCTTACTGCAAAACAACAACATATATACATGTATACCTATATGAAAATACACATGCTCATCATCGCTCAAATGTTAAGAATTGATCTTAAAAATGGTCCATAAGAGAGAGACTATTAGTGAAGAAGAGTAACCCCTAAGGACGTAACTTTCCAAGTTAAAATGAGAACAGACACTGGACGTTCACATCTTCTCCAACTATTTAGGATATTCACATCTTGTCCACACTGGCTTAACAGAGGCTACAAATAGCCATGCTTGCATCTTTAGTCTTTGTTTTCACCCTTTTTACAAGGATCTGCAGAGAGACACTGAATGAGTAATGTCCCAAAGCCACAGAACTGGAAGTGGTGGAGTGTGGATTTCCACTTGGACCTTCCAGATGTGAACGCAGCACCTGTATTCTAGAAGCCTACAGTCTCTTTGGGGGGAACAAAGACAAATAGGCCACATTTTGCAAAGAGAACTAAACCAGAGGAAATAATCAAACCACACTTCAGCTGGATTAAAGACACTTTCTACTGACTGAAAACAGTGCCAATTCCGCTTTACTTTCTCTTCTTTCAACAATATATTTACTTCTTACATGATATTTATAACAGAAAATTTAAATACAGATAAACAAAAGAAAACGGTAAGTTAAAAGCGCCCCAGATAATACATTCTCAGGTACCATCCCTCTTCTCTCCTTCCACATACTTCTATGTATGCATGCCAGCAAAAACATGGCCAAAGAGACCACAGTGCTCAGGAACCAGGGTCTGGAGTTGCTCAGGCAGAGAGCCTGATATTGGACACTCTGTCCTCACCACTAGCAGGGGAACCTTGGACAAAGCACCCTGACTGACGCCATCCCCGGTGGTCTCATCCGTCACTGGGGACAGAAGGGCTCCTGCCTTCTGGGCTCCCATGAAGAGTCAAGAAAATGAGGCCCACAGTGGGCACTCAAACACCTTTACAGAGACAGCACTGGAGAGACTGTTCTGTCACTTTCTTATTTAGTAATAGGCTGTGAAATATTTTCCATGTCAATACACAAAAACTCATTTATAGCTATTATTTTAATATTGCTGTGTCTCATTATATAGATGGACCATAACTCAATTCCCTATTGTCTGACAGTTAAGATGTATAATCTTTCCCTGGTGTTAAGGAGGAAAAAAAAGAAAGAACAAATTCTCATTGAATATATTCCTCAAGTATCTGAAAGATATGGGCTATCAACCCTTTGGTGAATCCTTTTTAATGTCATAAACTCCTTTAAACCAGTCTCTCTCAATTAGGGTTCCAAGAAAATTAAGATCTACAGAAAAACTATTTGAGTGACTATTTTCTTCATTCTCCCAAAGACTGTACATAGCTAGTGCCAGAACTCTTGATGGAGAGAGGAAAGTGAACTCATTACATAAAATAGATGCCTGAGACTATCAGGCTTAGTTCTCTCCAGAAACCCCAGGAGAGAAAAGCTGCTAACCCGGAATCTGGACCACTTCTGTTCATGTGGGTTTTCCCAGAGTTTTGTATGTTAAAAAACGATCATTACACTTCATTCTACACGTACTCCTTGAGCACCTCCCTTGTGAGGGCACTGCTCTACATACTGGGGATGTGTCAGCGAACCCAAATCCCTCCTTCCTGAGATTCATTTCTCCTTGGGAGAGAGACAGTAATAAAAGAATATAAGGAAAAGTAGGGACAGGTACCACAAAAAGATAAAGCAAGGGATGTCACAGTGATACAAGTATTTTAAGGGCAGTTTTATTAACTTTTATGCAAATCAAAACGTCATTTGCAAATGGTTTCAGTTGCCTTAAACAGCAAAAATGATTCAAACCACAATTGAGCAATCATTCAAAGACTATCTCACAATTTAAATAAGCCAACTCTGTTTTAAGTCAGCAAAACAGCCCTGTACCTTATGATGTGATCATGTGTCCAGACCCACTTCTGATGGCAGCAGAGCAGATCAATGGCGAGTACATACTCCCAAGTGTTTTCACTTAGATCTTCACCAAATTGTTCACTGGACTGAAATTCTGTGTTTGGACATAACTGTATGGTCAAAAGCAGCTTAGAAACCATGAAGCCAACATCTACAGGAGCATTCTAGCAAATGAAAAAAGGAAAAACATAATAAAATTTAGGGTCTCCAATATAACACATCGTATGTTAGTAATCTCAAAGAGCGTAACATGCATCAGACGAATAATCATTAATTTTCAAAGACATTATCTTAGTCATAATACTAGTGATAAAATGATGATAGAATGGTTGTTAATAGGCCAGATAACAAAGCTCCAGGCAGGATGCAAAATCCAGTCAATCAGAAAAGAGATTAGCTGGAATCCAGATAGAAATGCAAATTTTCATTAACTCAAATCAGAGAATTAAAGTTACAAAGCAAGTTATACTAAAAAAAATTTAAACCTTTAAAAATTATTTAAATTCTGTCATTTCTCTGATCCTAGATATCAGTCTGCTCTATCCAGAAATTCTTAAAATTGAATCAGACAGTATTAAACTCTTCTGTCGGGCTTCTTTCACACCAGTGCATGTTTTTGGATATTTATCTACCTTATTGCATGTAATAGTAGTTTGAACACTCCATTTTATCACTGAGTAGTAATCCATTATATGGCTACACCATACTTTGATTCACCTATTGAAACACATCTGGGTTATTTCCTGCTTTAGGCTATACTTAATAATGCTGGCATGATTAATTACAATTAATACAATTAATAAGACTTGTACATTTATGTAGTAGTCTTTTTTTTTTTTTAAGATTTTATTTATTTATTTATTTTCCCCCCCAAAGCCCCAGTAGATAGTTGTATGTCATAGCTGCACATCCTTCTAGTTGCTGCATGTGGGACACGGCCCCAGCATGGCCGGAGAAGCGGCGCGTCAGTGCGCGCCCGGGATCCGAACCCGGGCCACCAGCATCGGAGTGTGCGCACTCAACCACCAAGCCACGGGGCCGGCCCCTATGTAGTAGTCTTTGTGTGGACATAAATTTGACTTCTCTTGGATAAATACCTAGGAGTGGGTCTATAATTTTTTTTCTTTCTTGTATTATTTTTTTATTGGGTTTGTTATTAAAAGTGAACAGGGGGGCCAGCTCCGTGGTGTAGTGGTTAAGTTTGGCGTGCTTTGATGGACCAGGGTTTAGGGGTTCGGATCCTGGGTGCGGACCTACCCCACTGGTCAGCCACGCTGTGGTGGCGTCCTACATACAAAACAGAGGAAAACTGGCACACGTTAGCTCACGGCTAATCTTCCTCAAGCCAAAAAAAAAAAAAAAAAAAATCAAACAGGGAGGTTTCAATCTTTTCTTATACTGAAAAAGACTGGAATTACTTGGTTCTTTAAAGATTAGATAAAATTCTGGTGAAACCTATACGTACTTTCTGTATAGCAAATTTTTAATCATCTTTTCAACCTCTTTTATGATAATTTAAATCAACTAGTTTATTCAAGTGTTCCACCCCTAAAACCAATCTTGATCACTTTTATTTTGCTAAGAAATCATCCTAGGTTTCCAAATCTATTGCTACAGAGTTGCAGGTAGTCATCTTCTCATTCTTTATTCTTTATCTATTAGATACGACTTATTCTGAAACCTTGAATATTTTTGCTTTTCCATTTTTTCATTAATCTGAATTATCTGTTTTGCTAGTATTTTTTAAAGGCAATGTTATTTTCTGTCTTTTTTTAATTCTCTACTTCATTATTACTACCTTTTAAATTATATTCCTTTTTCCTAGATTCCTTCTCATATTAATTTTTAAGATGATTATCAGCCAATTTTAGTATTTAATAACGAAGACATTTAAACTATTTAATGAATATAAGTTTCCCAAAAACTAGAGATCTTTGGTGTGAAGGGTTTTCCTTTTCAATGACTTTTAAAAGATCGTGATGTTACTTTTGAGTTTCTATTTGTTCCACGACTGTGTATCTCAATCTCCAAGAAATTTTTAAGGAATTTTCAAATTATTTATGTCTAATTTTATTGAATTATTACCAGAGAATTTTGAGGGTAGAATCTTTACTTCTTAAAAATTAAGGTTTTCGTGTGGCCAAATTCATGACCAGTTTTTGTAAGTGTGCCATAGACATAAGAAAAAAATAAATATTCTTCATTCAAGTTTACTTGCTATATTATTGAGTTCTGCTATGTCTTTATTTTTGTCTATCAGATCTGTTGAATTCTGTAAGAGGGAATTTGTAAGTTTTGCACTACATAATTATGTGTCACTTAACGATGGGATACATTCTGAAAAATGTGTCCTTAGGCAATTTCGTTGTTGTGCAAACATCACAGAGTGTACTTACACAAACCCAAATGGTATAGCCTGCTCCATACCTAGGCTATATGGTACCTCTCTGAGTACCTATTGTAGAAGCAAATAATTGTGGCTATATGTCACCTCTCTGAGTACCTATTGTAGAAGCAAATAATTGTGGCTATATGTCACCTCTCTGAGTACCTATTGTAGAAGCAAATAATTGTGGCTATATGTCACCTCTCTGAGTACCTATTGTAGAAGCAAATAATTTACATCTCCTCCGAGCCCTCTACATATAAATACACACGTATGGATTTCATCAGTCATAAATTAGCACACAAAATAAAGTTTGTTAAATTAACACAATACATAGGTCTATAATTCTTCCCAGAATGTCTGATGCATACCTAATGAACAAAACGCATAAGCTTAGGCTAAAATGGCATTTTAAAAGATCTAATATGAAGTATAATATCTCTAAAATAACTATGAACTAATACAAAACTAAATACAAAATCAAATAACATTTATGGAAGATCTACAAGCATGGTATTACAAGAAATAAAAATAAACCTCACCTTTTCCCAATTGAGAAAAGCTCTCAAACAGTTCAGAACCTCTCCTTTAGCACGCTGCCTGGCAACTAACTGCATGGCTTTATTAATCACCGATTGAGAGATAAACACATCATGCCACATGTTTGCAATGAACAAAGTCAATTTTTCAGACTCTGGAAAGTCTATAAGAAAGAAAACAAGATAATAAACCTTTATGTCTGATCAAGTGAATAAATTACAAACTAAGAAGAAATTTCAGTAATTTCACTTGTGCCTTGCGAGGCCTCGTACAGCTGCGGTGAGATGGCCCAGATGAAGCTCTGGCCTCAGTTATTTCAAATCTGCTTCTCTTCCCCCACCTTTGGAAAACTTCCTTTAATTAAATTTGAAACATAATATGTGAGTATACCATTGTACATAAAGAGCAGTAAACTCCAAAACACTAAAAGAAGGCAAACATCCTCTCTCCAGACTGCCCCAATACCAGAAACCTCCCATTTGGTAAGTGTCATTACAGGCCGTTTTTTATGAATTTACAAGATTACATCTTACTTGCAAAACATGTAAAGCTTTTGATTTGAAGAGATATTTTTTATTTATTTATTTATTTTTTTGTGAGGAAGATTAGCCCTGAGCTAACATCTGTCAATCCTGCTCTTTTTTTAGCTGAGGAAGACTGGCCCTGGGCTAACATCCACGCCCATCTTCCTCCACTTTATATGGGACGCTGCCACAGCATGGCTTGACAAGCGGTGCGTCGGTGTGCGCCCGGGATCCAAACTGGCGAACCCCAGGCCACCGCAGCAGAGCTCGTGCACTTAACCGTCTGTGCCACCGGGCCGGTCCCTGAAGAGATATTTTCTATAAATTAAGGATGATAATCCTTTTGTTATAAATACTTTCTCCCACACTGTTGCATCTCTTTTGATTGTTTAATCAACTTAATCGTGGTAGAGTTTACATAAATAAAACACTCTTTGTAAGCAGACAGTTTGATGAACTCTGACAAATGAATACATCCATGTAACCCCCACCACAATCAATATATAGAACATGCCCATCATCCTAAAAGCTCCCATGGTCTGAGTCTTTCCAGTGAATCACTTCACCCCAGATACAGACAACCCTGATCTGCTTACTGTCACTTTAGTGTGCCTTTTCTCAAATATTGTGAATGGATTCGTATGGTATGTACTCTTTTCTGTCTGGCTTCCTCACTCAGCATGTCTTTGCGATTCATCCATGCTGCTGCATGCACCAGTAGTCCGTTCCTTTGTGTGGCCAAGTAGTGTTCAATTGCTTGATATATCACACTTGTTTTTCAATCACCTGCTGATGGACATTTGGTTCCAGTTAAGAGCTATTATGAATTAAGATGCTATGAATATCTGTGTACTAGTCTACGTGTGGATATGTCTCTATTTCTAACAGATAAGTACCTCTGGGTCATATGATATATGAATGTTTTAATTTTATAAGAAACTGTCAAAGTGTTTTCCAATGTGGTTGTATCAGTTGACATGAAGATTTTTATCCTGTTTGGTGTGAAGCCACATCTTCCTAGTTTTCTCTGTTCTGTTTTATCTAATATTGCAATGTGTTTAAAGAGTGGGTAACTCAAAGCATAAACTCACTGTGCTATTTTGATCTGTTATTTTTAAAATCTCATGTTTATCTGGTAATGCTTCCTCCTATCTCAGGATTTCTTCACATGTTGTTCCCTCTGCCTCGAATTCTCTCCCTCACTTTTCTCTTATGTATTCTTCTGCATCTTCACATCTCAAGTTCAAAAGTCACTTTGACAAGGAAAGCTTTCCTGACCCCTCAGACTCTCTCAAATCCACCTTCCTCACTAAAATTCATTCATTCAACAGACACTTAATGATTGAGTACAAGGCATTTTTCTGGGGTGGGGATACAGTAGGAATAAGACAATAACATTCCTGTCCTTACAGAGTATGCAATCTAGCGGAGGAGAGAGACAACAAACAAAAAGATTACGAATGTAATTAAAAAAAAAGGGGAGGAGGGATATAGAATGACTGAGGGAGTACGGGGGGTAACAGAGTGAGCCATAACAAGGTTGAGGGAAAAGGTTCCTGAGAGAGAAGCCTGTAACACACGGGCCTGAGGTGAGAACGGGCTGGCCATGTCTGAGGAAGAACCAGAAATCTAGCATGTGCTGAGCAGAATCCGAGTCTCTCTCCTTTCTACGGCCCACCACTGAATAAACCCGATGTGTGCTTGTGTAATGTTACCATCGTGTAGTGGCCCACTGGATGGCCGTATCTGCCTGGTTTCAGTCACCATCGAAGCCTTAACACTTAGCATGCACTTGTAACTATGTGTTGAATAAATCGGTGACTGAAAGAGTAAATAAAGAAATGAAGAGCGCAACTGAAACAGAGAAGCGTCATTCACAACTCTAAAAGTGATGAATATATTCAATTATCCTGATTTATAAGCCCCATAAACATTATGATGATAAAAGATTATAAATATTTGCAATCTAGATAACTTTCTGATATAATATTAAATTGCATTTGTATACCATTTTACCTTTTTTATTTTATTCTTTTTTTTTGTGAGGAAGTTCAGCCCTGAGCTAACATTCATGCCAATTCTCCTCTTTTTGCTGAGGAAGACTTGCCCTGGGCTAACATCCGTGCCCATCTTCCTCTACTTTATATGGGACGCCGTCACAGCATGGCCTGACAAGCGGTGCGTTGGTGCGCACCTGGGATCTGAACCCGGGCTGCCAGCAGCAGAGCGTGTGCACTTAACCACTATGCCACGGGGCCGGCCCCCCCATTTTACCATTTTAAAATGTTTCCACTGATGATCTGATATGATGAAGAACGACACCTAATCTGATCCCTTGGAAGAGCCTGACGAAGTGGCAGTAAAGGGAAGAGAATCCAAGGAAGGCACGGTCCCACCTCCCCTAGTTCTCTCTGATACTCCTCTTTGCATGAGCTTATGAACCCATCTTACAGCTTCTGCCCTTTCCAGCTAGTGCCACAGCAGTGTGGTTTGTCGCTGCCTTTAAAATCATTCCCTTCTCTGGTGCCAACTATACCTGATTCTAAAGTAGCTGCACAGGGAATAAACACATACGTGGGTGAGCAAGACCCTAGCATATCCAAGTGCAAATGCACGTGCCGGCCTAAGTGAGTTTTAAGTCAGACTCTCCCACTGAAAACCAGGCACACCTAGGTACAGCTAAGGCTATTCACGCCCTCCCGTAAATGCACAAAACATAACACTATTTTAAAAGATACACAGCAATTGCTTAGCTGAAAAATACAGATCTAAGTATAAGGAGGTAAAAAAGCAATAACATATTTTCAACACAAAAATGCCACCATCTAAGCATACCTTCCTTAAGCAGGCTGTAGCAAAACAAGCGAGCTCTTTCCAAGTCTCCGAGCTGCCGACAGACACCCACATACACTCTGCAGAGGGCATGAATGTAACTGTGCTCCAGAGATGTCTTCTGAACTTTCAGTTCTGAGAGAACCGAATGAAGCAAGCACTCTGCTAAATGCTGGATTGGAAAAAAATGAAAAGGCAATGTACAACAATATTTATCTTTAGCCTACTAAAAAATAGCTAAAAGCTACAAAATTAAGTATCAATTGGAAAAATAAAACGAGTGCTCCATCCCATCAGAAGGGAGAGGACCACTGTAACCATGGTGATGAGCTCAGCAGGGAACCATGAGGCTCTGGGGGATGAGAAATCCCACACCTGTCAGCTACCTGTGGTCAGCGGTGCTGCAGGTACCAGATGGCAAGTCTGAACATGCCTGGTCGCCTATTGTCACTACCACCATGCCAATAAATGATAATTTCTTGGTTTTGCTATGATAATCTGTGGGTGTGAGAGTGGGTATATGAAACCCATTCTAATTCTACTCCCATTCTCCTTTTCTAAACTCCAATGTACTCTCCACACATTTATACTGGTTAGGTCTTAAAATACTGGGTAATGTTTTTCTTACTCTATAAGAGGAGCATTAAATAATTTGATACATTCATTCATTTGAAAATAAACATCTTTTCAAAGTTCCATGTACTGCTCTTTATGTTTTCTGAAGGTAAGCGATCTAAGAAAAGTAAATATTTATACCATTATGGCTCCAAGGATGTGCAGATAACCAATAAAGTATGATCCATCGAGCACTGGAAATCATCTACACAAAGTATCAACATGGACACTGAGAAAACATAAACCTATAAAAGCCCTAATAAACCATGTATGTAAACCTGCACAACCGGCCGCCTCCTTTCCCCCATCTTGAAACTAAGTATCTGTTCTCCTTTGATTTGTGACATACATTAACAAGGGAGAGGCGAAACCCACATGAAAGACTCTCAAACTCTCAAAACACTTAAATGTGTATATAATACCATTCACAGAAAAGGCTCTATTTACGTGACAATAATTTGATGCTTTGAAGCAAATCATTTTGAGCTTTTAACATGCCAGAATCAATGGGAAATATGCAATTTTAGTCCTGAGAGATACTTTTCTTTCCTTAAAATTTTAAGTTACTTGATGAATACAAATTATCAAATTGCCAGTGTCTTACCACATCTCAAATGTATAAGATGCTGGCTAGAAATAAAGTGTAGGTTATAATGTTTATATGGATAACTGTCAATCTCTGAAACAAAACTTCCATTTAGGGTCATCCACCTTTCTGCTGACAGACAGCCTGTCCTCAAGGACATGCAATTCTTAGTGCACTTAGAGAAAAGTAGCCACATACCTTCTTTGTTGTGCTAAATTCATAAACAACTTCTTTCTCTTGATCTCTCATTACAGGCTTTTTGGAGATATTTCCCACATATACGTGACTACGAATGACGGGTAAAAGATCAAAAGATGACTCTGAGATCTTCTTCAGTGCATCAGCTATGGCTTTATCGTGGGACTCCACAGTGTCTTTGGCGTTTACAGGCAACTGTGAAACTGTGTTTACAGTCGGAACAGAACTTCTTTCCTGCTGTGTCGTTACAACTTCAGCTGGAGGGAGATTCCTGTGGAGGGTCCTGTTGACTCCTTTTGTGGGGGTGCTCCCGGTTTCTGGTTCTGGGGACCCGCTGTCCAGGCGCAATCTTTTAGCACTCCTCAAGGTAGACACTGACAACGTCCTTTTCCCACTTGAATCCTGTTGAGCCCCTGAATCTCTTGACTTCTCTTGGTTACAGTCACCACCAGAGTTGCTACCTGTTTTAACAAAGGCGGTTGATGTTGACGTGATTGTTTTGAATCCTGTTATAGCGCTGACAGGCCCTGGTAAATGCTTACAGTCAGCAGGCCGACTTCGAGTAAGCTGAATATTCCCTTTGAGGATGTTGAGGGTGCGGGCCCTGGCAGATAACTCTGGGTACATGGTGTCAAGGATTTTAACGGAATTCTCCTGGGGCCCTGCCACAGCAGTATGGGTTGATGCAAAGGGGGGGAGGCGGCCAGGCACGGGAAGCGCATGCTTTGGGGTTGCAGCACAAAACTGCAAAGGAGATGACAATATCCTCTCACCTGCTGGTGCAGCGGACGGGGACGGAGATGTGCACGGAAGAGAGGAGCGCCCCGGATCTTCTGGTAAAGGCGACATCATAGGAGGCACTGGGATTTCACACAACGGAGAGATCTGGCCAACAGGAGAGGTGGGTGAGGAGGGACTGGAACTTGATATCAGAGGAGAAACTGGTTGTGAAGTCCTTGGAGGCGTAGCTATCAAAGGAGCAAGCAAGGGGGGCAGAGGAGGCCCCACCTCCTGCCGTATCTTACTCAGCGTGTCAGCAGAACAATCTGTAGGAGTAGATGTGTCAGCGTTGGCTAGAATGGTCTGAGTTTGATTTCTCTGCGTTTTTGCGTTACCTCTTTCCCCTGAAAATGACTGAGAAACTTCACTCTGATTTGTTTCAACTCGGCTAGATGCTAAAGTCTTTACCAGTTTGTTTGATTGATCCTTGTTTGAAACCTTTGATCGATTCTTATATTTGCCAAATGGCTCTAGCTTCGAGTTATAGTAAGTGTGATCAGATGCAACAATCGGAGACTCAAAGTTTTGATCATATATTTGAGAACTAATCCTCACGCTAGGTTTAACAGGTCTATTTCGTAAACGACTTTTATCAAAGTTGGTACTCTGACCACTGCTTGAAATGTCCTCTTGGGTACACGCAAGGTTACTGCCACACTGGGGCTCCTCAAATGGAGGGCCAGGGTGACTGGTCTCTGGGGACTTCTCCAAAGAAGTAACTGAAATGCAACCAGCTCCCTGCCCGCCTCCACCCGGGGAAACAGGCACGTCTCCTGGAGCACCACACAGTATAACCTGGTCCACGTTTGGCATGAGAGCTACCCCATTTATGATGGTCCAGTTGTCTCCATTCTCAATGACTAGCTTTTGATCCTTATTTATTAGCACATTTATAACTTCGGAGGTCACTGTAGCTATCTGACACTGAAACGTCGCTTCTGCCTCACAATCAGCACTGTGTGTGGCTGTCTGTCCTGCTCCTGAGTCGGAGCAGCAGGGTGAGGGCTCTGCTGGTTCTGACATGCCCTCTTCCCCACTGTCCATCGGCTTGCTCCCATCCAAGTTACCCTCAGGTCTGCCTTCAGTGTTTTCATTATTGGATCTACCACTAGAGGGAGAACTGCCCTGGGCGTCCAAGCAGGCTGTTGGTGGGGGTGCATCTGAAGCGGCTGATGAGGAGCCAGCTGTTTCCTGAGGTGGGACTTGTTCTTTTACATCTTCCCTTGTCATGCTGTCATGGACATCTAAGAGCAGTAAATTACCAGCATCTTCTCCATTGGAGTCATCATGGTTGGTCTGAAGTTCCTGTCCAATCTTGGTGAGCACCTCAGACAGGGTTTCCAAAGAACACTGCGTGAGCTGACTCGTGTCCCTTAAAGGACAATCATCTTCCTCTGATTCCATCCACTCTTCGGAGGTTTCAAGTGTTTCTTCTTCACAGAGTAGCTTTCTGTACTTTTCTCCTAATATTTCACTTTGCCTTAAGTCTTTGTTCTTGTCTTTATTTAGGGTTCCTTTGCTAGAACATTCTGAAACAGAGTCCCCTGAACTATAATCTCTTAACTGACAACTTTCAAGAAACATAACGACCTCTGATGTGGAAAGTGTGTCTATCTCAGAAAAAGTACTGATGTTAAAATCCTGCAGAGCCGAGGTCAGATACCCCACCTCTATGGAAGGTCTGGTCTCAGCCACACCAGCATCCACAGCTCCTGCATCTTTTCCAGAGGCATCCACAGCGCCTTGCTGTCCATTCCCCATCACAGCTTCAGGCTCATTTTCGCCCTCACTGCAGCTAGGTGCCTCACTCTCCTCTACCTCAGTGTCGCCACCCGCTGCCTCCCGAATGCCCGTGTAACAATACAGATTACCAGGAAGGCTACTCTGGGGGAGAACACGTGTCTCTTCATCTTTTCTGCCAGTCACTGATGAAAAAGCAGGCCCCGTGGTGCCCAAAGCTTCAGAAGCACTGCCAGGAGTTTGAGATGGCAGCTCCAGAGGCTCCTTTGGGCTTTGCTGTGCACTAGGAGAGTCCTCTGAAATGGCCAGGGCCTCACCACCAGATCCGACTGTGTCGCCACAGGACATTTCCTCAACAGGAAAACCTCCTGACACTGGCACTGCTGTGGCTGGCAGAAGTTTATCCGCATTGACCCCAGTCAAGGCCGGATTTGTGGCATGAAGACAGGGACCCTGCTGGACCTCATCGTGCACTGCAGCTTCTGTCACAACTTCTCGGTTTTGGATCGGGACGTTGTCAGAAGAGAAAGATAATTTACTGTTTGTGGAACAAGAATCTCCTACTGGTAAAGAACCACTTGGAGAATCAAAATCCAATTTTCTCCAAGAGGTGGGAACCTCTGGTGAAGCCCTTTTTGCAGCAGCCGCCTCTTTGGTTTTCCATGTTGTGTCCTCTCTTTCCCCACCACATCTTCCTATAGATGACTCGTGACCTGTCCCATTATCCACATTTCCTGTAGCTAAGGCAGGCTCATTCCTATGTGGTCTCAAGTGTCCTGATCTAGCACTTGTCACCGTTTCAGGTCTGGCCTGCTTGGTGATAACTGATACTTGGTTAGGTAACAATGACGCAGCAGCCTTGAGTCCCACAGCATTATTACTTCCTCCAGCAAGTTCAGGCGTGGATGTGGATCCTCTATTTTCTAAGGACAGCGTTGCCTGTTGTAACTGATAGTTGGCCTTTTGTTCATGTTCTGATTTAGCTCTCAGCCTTTCTTCGCCACCTCTCCTTAACAGATCACTGTGGTGCCATGACGTGCTTTTAACAAAACCAAAACCACTCTTGATCAAGCCAGACCGAGACTCCACTAATGATGTGAAATCTGACTGACTTAGGGTGAGCTCAATTCTTGGATCTTGACTTTCACATTGTCCATCTTTTGTAGCTTTCATAAATATTGACTGAGGAAGTGAACAGACTTTGGTGATGCCTTTTACAATTTTTGTACATTCTACCTCACTGCCACTCTGACTGTTAAAATTAGATGCTCCCAATATAGGGCTCAAAGCACGGAAGCTAGTCTCCAGATCTTTTTCTCCTGTAGAACACTCCGGTGGCTCAGACTGCAGATATAACCTGTGTAAAGTTTTAGCTTGCAACTTTTGTTCTGAATGCAGTTCAGCTGGGATGACTTTAGTAGGAACACGTGTATCATTACCATACTCAAACCCAGAGGAAGACTGGGAATTACTGCAGACAGACAAGGCTTCTGAGGTAGACGAGGAAGAAAACTTGGCTTCAACATCAAGCCCTGGTCCCTCCATTGCATGACCTGCCTCTTCTTCTGATTCAGGTGATTCTCCTAAAATGAACCCTTGCATATTGTCTCTTTCCTTTTCCAATCCTCCAGATAGTCCCTGAAAATGGTCAGAAACTGATATATGACCTAACTCAGAAGTGATTTCATTAGTTAGTGTACACCTAGTAAAGTCTGATGTGGGTGATCCTACCATTTTGGATGATCGAGTTTTTCCTTCATATTCCGTGAGCTCATTTAATGGCATCTTGACAAGGGGAGAATAGCACACATCTGACTTCTTAGGGGCCGCCTCCCTCTCTTGTACCAGGCTGCCAGACAACTTCTCAACACTCACACTTCTGGTGGGTTTGTGAAGTGTGTTCTCAGTTTGCACTGACTTATCCATCTCCCTAACCTCTCTCTGTCTTTTTGCCTCATCTAAAATGCCTCTTTTTCTATCATTCATGAATTCAGATGACACTGTCCAGTGTTTCTCATGAGCTAAGGAGTATGTGGTTGAAGGTTCTCTCAGTGTTGCTGTAAATGTCCCGAACCCAACAGCCGTCACTTCATTTACTTCAAATGTACTTAGAGTTTGGGTGGCTTCATGTGACTTGAGCATCTCCTCCCGGGTACCACTTCCTTCAGTTTTTCTAGGTGAGCCAAAACAATCCTGTGATTCAGGTGTTTCATCTTCTGAAACAGACTTGGCAGAATTTCTATGCTGGGCCGAGTCATTATCACTGGAATCTGTATACTCTCCAAAGTAGGTTTCCTTAAAAATAAATGAGTTATACTAGTTAGTTAATTAAACACTAATTCAACCAACTAAACATAACTATCAATTAAATGCATTGGGAAAAAAAAAAACCTGCTTTCTGAAGAATCCTTTAAAACACATCTGAGAAAAGGGTAGTTTCTTTGTAATTTCTATTAATGGGTGAGTCTCAACTACAATGTTAGGGGTACAACATTTTGTCGCCCTTTCCTTAAAGATGCCCATCTCTCCCCAGAGTTCCCTCACTAGGCTGCTTCTCCCATAACAGAGATTCTTCCAAGTTCTCCTCCACACACATTTTGGGGTAAGGTTTGGTCTCCTAACTTCTAAACATTCCTACTTCTCAACTCTTACTTCTCCATTTTCTGGTAAAGGGTTCCGAGTCTAGATGCACAACCCTCTCTTTCCCTCTACCTCCAAGTCACTCCTCCACGTGTGTCTGACTCCAGCACGGGAGGCGCCCGCTCCACACCAAGCCTGGCCATCCCCCCAGCTGACATCTTGTAGACAGATTTTGCCACATATTTCCTCACGCCTCATGCCGCATCTTGGATGTTATCAACCAGACCTGTTTCCCCCCTTCAACAGCTTATGCACTGACGACTCTCCCTCCTGCACAGTCCTGTTCTCCATCTCTGCTCCAGATACCCTGTGTGACCCCCAACCAGCCCCCACCTGTCTGTGCTAACTGCCCCTATCATGTGGCCCACCAGGCAGGCTAACTCATCAACTGCCTTGCCTCCCCGTTGTGTAAGGGAAATGGTGGACTGGTAAAGAACAACAACTGCTGACATAAACTTACTCCTACTATAAAAATTCTTTCCTCCCTTGAACTCTAGAGTACCATCATCTCCTGGTTTTCTCCACCGCCCTAACACTTGTTTTCAACTTCCTTTCCTCTTCCTCCTCTTCTGCCTCATCACGTATGGATGTGATAGTTCCCCAGGACTCTGTCTGGGACCCCATCCTCTTCCGCACACTCTTACTGAATGACATGACACAGTCCCAGGGTTTCTGCTGCACCCAAATGCTGATGCGTCCTAAACACGTGTGTCCCACCACAGCCTCCCTCCAAGAACATGCCCGTGGATCTAAAATGCATACTGCATATATCCCCTTAGAAACCTCATGCACACCTCATATCTGACATTTTACACATTATCTTCCCACCCAACTAAGGTTTCTTCTTATACTTGTTACTTTCCACCACCCTTGCCTCCTCTACGTCCCCTAACAACCACACTGAACACCTCACCAAACGCTGCTTACTCGACCTCATAATGCTGTGCAAACCTCCCCACCTCTTTAACCCCAACGCTACTGCTGGGTTCCGCTGTCACGAATTAAGGAAACTGCTGATAAATAAGTTCCCTGTCTATGGTTTTGCCTCTTTCCTGACTATCCTCAGGCCCTATCTATTCATACTGTGACTAAATTAAAACTTTCAAATGAAAATCTATCCTTAGGTCCACATTTTTGGATCCATCAAGGATTGCCCACTGCATTCAGGATAAAATGGAAAGTCCTTAAGACACACAGGGTCCTTGTGGACCTGCTCTGTGTGAATGTTCCCAAGCATCAAGTTCACCCTCAGCTCTGTACCTCTGTATAAACAGCTTCTCCACCTCCAACATCCCCCTCCTCTTTAACACTCGGCTGGGATCCTATCTTTCTGCAGCATTTCCTACCCTCCCTCTCCACCTGGCCTCCACTCAGGACCAGCTCCCCTCTAGATCCTCTCCACAGGATGTGTTTCCCAGCACTGTGGTGCTCTACCACAGCTGTGTCATCACCTGCCCCCTTACGGTCCCACCAACACACAAGAAGATATAACCAAGCAGCAACCATAGCCCATGCTACCTCTGAGTTCCCGGTGCCCAGCACATGTCTGGAACATAACAGACATGCAAGATGTTTCCTGAATGAAGGAAGTGACTTAAAGGAGTCAGTTATCTGCTCCTGAAGCCAAAATCTGCTTCATCGAAACTAACTTCCTAAGAAATTAAAATTACAATAAACCATTCTGCAAACACACAAAAAGATGAATTCCTCAAGTGAAAGTGGGGAATTCAACAACATAGGTTAATGGACATGCATGCTATCTACATGGATTTCCCCACCTCTAGAAAACTCCATTCCTACAAATATGTTTTCAATTCATTCATTTCATATCTGTTATGGGCCAGGCACTAGAGATAAGAACAAACAATTAAGACACAGTCCTCCCACAGGAGACTGATGATTTGGCTGTGGATAAAGACAAATAAAAATGCAACCATAATATAAATTGAAAAAAGTTTACTATATAGGTTGATCCAAAGGGCACTAGCATGCCTTGTTAAATTCTCACGTTACTCCCTAATAAAATCTGGTCTGAGGACCACAAATGTTCTTTGAGTCTGGCTAATATATTAGGATGGAAAATGTGACCACTTGGTAATTCAAATCCAAAATGCAAACTCACAGGTGCTAGCGAAGAAGGTAATGCGCCCAGGTGTGGTAAGGACACCAGAGGGGGTGATGGCACTGGAGACAGAAGAGGAGGGGGGAGTTTGAAGAAATCAACTGCAGCTTGAAGATCTTCATCAAAAAAATGATCAGGATCAGAAAAGTCAGTACTGTCGTCATCATTCCTCTGCATTAAAACCTCAGGATTCTGGTCCTCATTCAAAACACGGTCATTACGGTAAACTGCCCCACCAGGCCCCTCTTTTCCCACATTTTTACACGCTGAGAAGTTGCTCTCTATCTCCATGGACAGTTCTGCCAAGCAGGTCTGCACCGCTGAGGCTCTGAGAGGACTGCCTCCTACTGGAGGGGAAATGCCATCTTCCCTAGACTCTCTGGAGGTGGGGTTTTCTTTGGCAAGTTTTTCTGTGGGAAACAAAAAGTAAATATCAAATATTTACAATACCATACTGAAAAATTAAAAAAATAAAAATCTTCTAACAGTCCAAAATGCTTGCAATATTAAGTCCAAGTAGAAACATTTTTCAAAAGGCAACCAATCCCTTCAAAAAGATTATCCTGAAAGACCTGAACATATTTCTCGTAAGTATGCTTCCCTCACAACAAGCAAGATGAGAAGACAGGGAGATGGATGGGTGAGATGCCCCTGCGACCATCAACAGCAGGATGCACAGGTGGAAGGCATTCACAGCAGCAGTAATGGGCCTTGAGGATGCACTCATTCTCTCGGTGAATCTTTCCATACAACCAGCAGTATTTGGAAGAAATAGCTTTGTACATATAGCAAGACAGGGAACATCATTTTCTCTGTCTGAAAAGTTATCTAAACTCAACCAATATCAAGCCTATCCCATGACCATATTTGTACAATGCTCTAATTAACAGACTTGACTAGATCATACAAATATATTATAATGCAACAGAAAAGTTACTCTAAAAAGCTAGTGCTTTTTGAGTCTTGATTCTGATTTTGGTGAACTGCAGTGGTGCTATTAGTAAAGCCATGCGTCTCCCGGGAAATAACTAGAAATAACCATTTGTATTATTTGAAAGCTGTAAAAATGCGTCACAGAGGACTCAGGGCTCCTTGGAGAAGTGGTTGATTACAGGGCTGGACAGGGGAAAATACAAGTTGAGCCTGAAACATCTTGCAGTGCCAAACAGCAAAGAAGTACTCAAAACAGGATGGGATCCACCTAAAGGGCCCAGAAGCCAACCTGAAGACGGTGCCAATAACCAAATCTGGAGCAATTTGAACAATAAAATAAATAATGATAGTACTGAATTATAAAGCATAGAATAAAATAAATATCTACGAGACTATGCTGACAGAAATAAATAAGTGAATGAATAAACAGATGGTGGAGAAGGGATAGCTCTTCCTTACAGAAGAACTCCAATTGATAAATGTAGAAGGAATGAGGGAAATACAAAAATCACTATTAGACAAAGTAGTAATTGTAGCAGACAAGATTCATTGATGGATGCTAAAACTAGTGGGCTACAGATGGAGAGAAACAGAATATTTGCATAGCGTCCAAGTATCTCCCTCAAGATAATTAATAAGGAAAAAACAGTAACTTTACAATGGAGAACCCTGGTAAACACCATCTTAAACAAGCAATCAAGGTTAACATCCCCGTGCTAATGCATATCCACATCCCCTCTCCCCTGGTACAACGCCCTGAGCAGAGCGCAACATCACTGCTGTGGAATTCTTGTCAAAAATACACAGCCTCACTCTAACAAGAAAACATCAGACAAGCCCATCAGACAATGGGCTTTCTACAAAATGATTCGTACTCTCCAAAAGTGTCAGAGACATGAGACAAGAAAAGACAGATAACTGACAGACTGGGAGAGATTAAAGAAAGAATGACTGCTAAAGGCAATATGGGAGCCTGGAATGGAAAAATGACATTAGTGGGAAAACTGGTGAAATGCACACGAGGTTTAGTTTAGTTAATAGTACTGTACCAAGTGTTCAGGTTCTGATTATTGGTGACAGAAAATGTTAACTGTAGGGGAATTTAGAGGAGGGGTCTAAGGGAGTTCTCTGCACTATTTTTGTAACTTGCTCAAATGAAAACAAAAGGTTAAAAAATAAATGTTTTATGGTACAAGATTCCAAAGATGCCGTGTTTTCCCTTATACCTAAAAAAGTTAACAGTAATAGGCTTATCCTTCAAAACAGTTTGTTTTTAAGTAAGCACATCACATTAGTAAATGAAGGACAGCCCTTTTAATAACATCTTGAACAACATGAAATTAAGTGCTTATAATAAAATAAGACTACTGACTGATACAGAGGCCTGAAAAGAATCCAGGCTGCTTCTGCCTGAATGCATGGACAGACAAATTCTAAACTGAAGACTAATGTGGGAGATGCAGGCACCACCTGGTTATATTATCAGTGCTACTATACAGTAGGTGAAGTGGACAGAAAAACCATTAGAAGTCTATCTAAAAGAGAAAATCTATTTGAAAAAACCCCATCAAACATACTTCACAAGTTCTGAATATAGCATAAATAAGAACCAGTAACTTGTCTATAAACATTTTCCTGAGAGAACTTTGTCTTCAGAAGCCTGAGAGGAAAAACTAGGTACACGTTTCTATAGTGTTACATACTCAGTGATCTGTGAATTCATAGCAGCTAATCATAAGAAATTAAATTATAAATTTAATTTATAATTAAATTAGAATTAGAATTATAGAATTAGAATATATAGAATTAGAATTATATACTAATTATTAATTATATATTAATAATTATATCTATATATTATATAGAATTCTAATTCAAATTAGAATTTTAAACTTAAAAATATGTTAAGTAAGAAGCACTTTAATCTTATGTAAGATGGCTATTTTCTCCCCATTCACTCCAGGATGACCAGTACCTATTTCCAATTCTTAAATACTGAATGGAGTATAACTGAGTACATGGTAAAATGTCTCTAGGACTTTTCACTGCAAATCAAGACAGACCACAGAGGAAGTCAAATCTCTGAAAATGCATTAGCTAATTGTGCTGTGCAACAGTAATCTGACACGATAGTTGGCATGAAAGGAGACAGTTTTTATCTGACAGTATCAGTATCCTAAAGGAGACTACGAATGTACACTTGATTATATACTACAAGTTCAACCAAAGGAACTGGTACATGAAAAACAGATTAAGCTAAACTGCTGGCAGATCGACAAAACTCATGAAATGATTTAGAAAAAACTGTGCCTCCTCAGTCTTCCACAAACACCTGCCGTATATGCCTCCACTAAGTTTCCTTCCACGAATATTCCCTGATGAAAGCTGCTATTAAAAAATTAAATGCCAGGGGCCGGCCCGGTGGCGCAAGCGGTTGGGTGCGCGTGCTCCGCTGCGGCGGCCCGGGGTTCGCTGGTTCGGATCCCGGGCGCGCACCGACGCACTGCTTTGGCAAGCCATGCTGTGGCGGCGTCCCATATAAAGTGGAGGAGGATGGGCACAGATGTTAGCCCAGTGCCAGTCTTCCTCGGCAAAAAAAGAGGAGGATTGGCGGATGTTAGCACAGGGCTGATCTCCTCACAAAAAAAAAAAAAAAAAAAATTAAATGCCAAATGCATTTACTGAGATTATAAGTCACACTGAAGGAAAACAAGCTTTGTGTAATTAAAAGTACCCATTATAGTTTATTTCATTCTTTTAATGTTAGATTCAGGAGATATTAAAAACTCAAGGCATACAATGCCCATGGTAAACATTTCTACTTTCACATATGAAATGTAATTCTGCAAGTTTCTCTCTCACCTGGGACACACCTGCTGCCTTCACCAGGTAGTCTGTGTGTTGTGTTTATACAGAGCCAAAGTTCCTTGAGAAGTAGTTTTACTTTTCCTGTGAAAAAGAGTAAAGTATTAAAGTCATGTCACTGACTCAATCTATACAAGGAGAAAACATACCCCTGTGAAATTAGGATTTATTAGGGAATTGGAAAACTAGGTAATTTAAACATCTTCCCCAAATTCAACCATTGCGCATGATTCAGTTAGCTACTGAAGGGAAGGTCTGCAATGCTTTAGCTAACCACAGAAGGCTAAATACAGGCTTGGGGTGTTTTTTTTGGGGGGGGGGGCTTGAGGAGGGGACTCAAAAGACTAAATCTACTTGTTAAAAGGGCTTAATCACCTGTATGTATGCATGAAACAAATAAATCTTTGGTCTATACATTTTCTACAGAGAGAGATGTGAGATGGGGGAAGGAAGCACAAATATAATGACCTATACAAGAGATGTCGGCTCTCTGTATTCTATGAAGAACAGTAGAGAGGTACCCCCTCAGTTACATGAGGTAATCTGAAAAGCCATCAGTTGACCTTGCTGTAATTAACCTGGGGCTTCAGGGATGGTAGAAAATCCATGAACAGTCTTAAGGGGAAATGGGGTGGGAGACAAAAATGTATATATAAACATATGGATAGGGAGAGAGAATCACACACATGAGCAGACACACAGAGAGAAGCAAATGCTTTTATAAGGAAAGTGAAAGCTTTGGAATTTTTATAAATTTTCAAACGGGTCTGGATTCCTAAAATGGTTAAGAACCACCGGTCCAAGTTGAAAGGCCAAGGTAGTTAGTTGTCAATAAGACGGGCCTAATGAAATTCACATAACATTAAGAATATTATACCATGGTTTTAAAGTGAGTTTAACATTAATAAGTATAAAAATTCCCAAAAACCCTCCAAAGCGAAAAATATAAGCATGAATAGCTTGCGGTCAAATATGCATAAAAAGACAACCCACACTAATTAAAATTCATCTAAAATAAGCATTAAGTATTAGGCAATTTCAGGCCACCTCAAAGTTCCTAAATTAACATGAAGTATTTATTGAAAATACTGAAATCTTTAGTTCTAGAGAGACTAAAAATATCAACCTTTTAAACCAAAATATTTCCAAGGAATCACAAATTTTGAAACAGGTCAGCCCTATTTCAGCTAGTAAACTGCATCACCCCAAAAGATGAAGTCCACAGAAGGGACCAGGACAAATGGGGGCAGAGTAACAGATACGTTTGAAAAGCAGGACATTTCCAACCTTTCCTGAGCCAAATCCACCTCTCACCGTGTGAGAGCACATCCACTTTTGGTTTCAAACTTCTGTGACCAAGCGGCTTGTCTACATCGTGATTTAACCTACCCAAAAGCCTGCTTCCAAATACTGTAATCCCCTTTGCTTAATGACCTGACCAGGATCCCTGCTTATTACGAATACCTCAAGCAGCAAACAAGGAACCTTAAAAAAAAAGAAAAAAAGTTACTTTTCTATTCTTATGAAGACTATTAACCAGAGCTATGCCTATTCTAATTGAGCACTCATTCATTACTTCTAATGTGCCAAAAAAAAAAAAAAAATACATTTCCAGCAAAGCAGAAAAAAAGTCTTCACTGTGGCTTCATCACTTAGTTGTGAAGAGAAACCTTAGTTAAGGTGAACTGCACACCTTCTCCAATCATTTAAAACGCTTCCTTTATCAAAATCTACGGCATCTATGAGTATTTCCAGACTTTTCTACTCCACTGATTTGTCAGTGTCCACATGAATACCATGCTTATGCTCCTTTAATCACGACAGCTCTAGAATTTTGTTTTAATATCTGTGCAGGCCCTGAGTCTTGCTCAGGTTTTTCCTTTTCAAAAATTTTACTATTCTGAACATCTATTCTTCCTGATAAGCCTTCACCATCTGCTTCTCCTTTCCCATATAAAATCTCAATGGGATTCTGAGTGAGACTGTATAGTTATAAATACATTTGGGGAAAATTTACATCCTTGTATTTGAGTCTTTCAATCCAGGAACATGATGTTCACTTATGTGTTCAGGTCTTCTTTAATGCTCTCAAGAGTGTTTTGTATTTTCCTCACAGAGGCATGACACACTGCTTTTAGGTCTTTTCCTGATATCTGACGGTTCTGCTGCCATTTGAGAATGAATGGGATGCTCTTACTCCACCCTTGTTCCAATAGGCTAATAATGGTACCTTGTGTGTGTTCACTGTATATATCACCATTTTCCCAAGCTCCCATACTTCTGTTCTCCAGCTGAGTCTTTTCAATATTCTACATAGATAGTCATATCATTTGAAAATTATGACAATTTTGACTCTTCTTTAATAGTATTTATAGTTCCTATTCTTTTGTGTCTGCTCTGCTGCACTGCTTAGGGCCTCCAGTATAAACAGAATGAAGGTAACAAAAAAGCATGATTGCCTTCTTTCTGACAGTAATAACTATGCTCTTAATGATTCATTATTCTCAAGTTCAAGATTCTTTTTCTATTATTACCTCATGAAATATTCTTTATGAGGAACGGGTGCTGAACTGAGACGATCATATCATTTTTCTCTTAACTAGTTGTTGTAGCACTCCTGAGATAAATCCTTAAGTCACAATTAGTCTGTATTCTAAATGACTCGATTTGAGTTCTTAAAATTTTATTCAGTATTTTTTGCAGCTATATTCCTAAATCACAGAGTTCTGAGTCTTGAGGATGTGTGTGCACGTTATTATTAATTGGTACAGGGTTACGCTAATCTAAGAGAATGAGACAGAAAGCATCATATTTTTCGAAGTTCTAAAACAAACATGGAGCCGGCCCAGTGGCGTAGCGGTTAAGTGCGCGTGCTCCGCCGCGGTGGCCCGAGGTTCAGATCCCGGGCGTGCACCGACTCACCGCTTGTCAAGCCATGCTGTGGCGGCATCCCATATAAAGTGGAGGAAGATGGGCACAGATGTTAGCCCAGTGCCAGTCTTCCTCAACAAAAAAAAGAGGAGGATTGGCGACAGATGTTAGCTCGGGGCTAATCTTCCTCACAAAAAAAAAAATAAACAAAACAAAATAATAATAAAGATGTCAGTTTTTCATTGAAGAATTTATAGAGCTAACCTGTAAGCCCTCTGGATCTTTTATGGTGTTAGATCTTTTAACTATTTTTAAAAATTTCTTCTGGTTATTTTTCTGTTCAGGTTTGCAACAACTAATTTGAATCAGTCTGACTATGTTTTCCTAGAAAATGGTCCATTTCATGAACATGATCAAATTTGAATATAAATTTGTGAATTAACAAATTCTCCAACTGCAGTTTTATAGCTTTCTCAGTCTTGGTGCTATTGAGTTTTTGTTCCTTCCTTTCTTGATCACACTTCCCAAAGAGCTGTCAGTTTCACCAACATTGCAAAGATCCAGCTAGTAGCTTTAATGGTCCCAAATCAATTGCTTTGTTTTCTAGTTCATCAACTTATGTGTTCATCTTCATCAATTCCTTCCTTTTATTTTTCTTAGGTTTCCGTTGTATTTTCTTACCTCCTTAGTCATTCATTCTTCCATAATTCTTGCTTCATTTTCTGTAATTCTTACTTTCTAAAATAATCACTTAAGACCACAAATCAGTCCTTTGAATACCATATTGGCAATATCTCAAAGATTTTAATAAATACTGCTCTATTGTTGTTCATTTCCAAAACAGTTTAGTATTTCAGTTTTTATTTTTTCCATAACCCAGAGGGATTTGCCTGTGTTTATTTGTGTTCAGTTACCAGATAGGTTTATTTGTGTTCAGTTACCAGATAGGTTTTGATCATGATTCTAATTCTATCTCCTATTTTGTCTGCTTTTATTCTCTTTTATTTCAGACAAACGTATTAAAGTCTTCCATGCCGAACAGATTTGGCTGCTCCCCCCTAGAATTTCCATGTGTTTTATTTGACACAGTTTCATGCTCTTAGGTCCATGACAGTAACATCTTCTTGGTGAACTGTACCTTTAATCAATCTAGACACGCCCTTTTAATCTATGTAAATTCATTTCTAGGCTTGAATTATTTTTTGCCTTATATTACTGCTTTCAAGTTAGCATTTGCTTGGAATTTCTCTATCCATAGAAAATTCAATCTTTTGCTTCATTTGATTTTAAATGTATTTCCTAGGAACATGTCAAGAAGTGGAGATCATACACAAAAATCATGCTCAACACTTGGGAGGCCTTTCTAATATAAATATGACATTTGTGTTCTGCTCCGGGAAGTTTCCATCTATTATTTCTTGATCACCTTCTCTCCTTACGCCTCTGTTCTCCTCTCTGAGAAGTCCTAACAGATGACTATTAGGACATCTGGCTCTATCCTCCAGATTCTTTCATTTTCCCTAAAACTTTTAACTTCCTTGTCCTTCTGCACCACAGTCTCAGAGATGTCCACAATTAAATCTCTTGGTTAATTAGATCAACCTTCTATTTGTCCATTCAACACTTTAGCCTTTTTAGTGGGTTTATTTCTACAATCTTGAATTGATATTCAAGAACCTCAACTCTGACTTCATAGCAACAGCCTACGGATATGTTCTTAGACTTTCTCTAAGGAGACTAATTCAACTTCTAACATTTTCTTCTTGTCCATGATTTAATAGTGTTTCCTCAGGCACTACCTGATCTCCTTGAGTTTCGTGCCCTTCTTTCCTGTCACTGCTTTCTCTCAGTTTTAGATGCAAGTTTAGGCAGGACATCTTGGATAGCCAGAGTATACTTCTTCAGCCTACATTGTTAGTCCTGTTCCTCTAGCAATAAACATAAGTTCTCCTTTTATGAACCTGCAGGATCCTGCCTTTAGAATGAGGGGAGGCAGAGTGGACACAGTCATGAGGATTTACAGGAAGTACATAAATATCTCATTTTCTGGGAACAGGAGGGGTTATCCTTCAAAGCAGCCAAAATTACCCAATTTTCTGATATCCACATCTACTCTGGATTCCTCTCGTGTCATAAATAACACTTCGGAGAACTACACTTTGAGCCACAGCCCATGGACAAATGCCAGAAACTGTTTCTGAAACCAGAAGGACGCACACTTTTCACCCCTTAATCAATTACCTGGCAGAATGCTACTGTCCTGCTCCTCCTCCCTCTCCCTGCCAACTGTGATGTGGGGAAACACAGGGCTTCTGCAATAAAAACTTGTTTTTTGACAGCTGCTATTTTCTCTCTAATTTTGGGTTTCATCACCAATTGATACCATCTGCCTTACATCTTCATTCATTTCCTCCACTGGCGGTAAACTTTTTAACTATTTTTTACTTTCCACCATTTTTATTGCAATGTGACCATGAAAGGCAAATGTGGCACTCAGGCAATCTTTTATAAAGTGAAGTCAACTTAATACTCTTTCTAACTTGTACATCTCTTTCAGAAGTCAAATATTAACAGAAAAAAGTGTTAAAGATATACTTAAGAATTAGGAATTAAACCCACCAAGGTCCACAGCTAAATAATCAGCAGATTCCTAAAGACTTCATTTATTTGGAAAAAGTAAAATGTACAACAGACAATATCCCTGCCCTCACAGTGAGGGTAGATTAAAAAAAATAATAATCTTACTTGAGATAGTAACAAGTTCTTTGAAGAAAATAAAACAGAATGTCAGACTAGAGAGCAACTAAGGGGAGGGTTTCGGAAGGGTCTGTTTTAAATGGTAAGGCCTGAGACTAGCCAAATCCTAAAACAAATCTGTCAGTCCAAAAGGGAAGATGTTTAAATTCAATAGTTGCCTATGAGCTGGGCAAGCAAGTGTGGCCAAGTCCTCTGTTCCTTTTAGCAATATCTATTCTCAAAGTCTCACTGTCCACACCTAAGAGTAGGAAGAAGAGTCAAAAGCACAGAGAATTACATATTAGTAATAGTTATAAACAAGCAAGTCAGTGCCCAGGCAACTGAAAGGTGTGAACTATTAAAGCCTTAAGCCAAGAAAAAGATGACCTTTCGCTCTGAATTTAAAAAAAAAAAAAAATTTAAAGGAAAAAAAAAGGTAAGGGAGACTTCTGAAGAAACACTGTATACTTGCACAAAACAATGTAAGTGGTTTTCATAATTTCCATTTGGAGGAAAAATAACACATTAGTGACATAAAAATACCATTATTTACTTATTTACCATTTTAAATTTATCACTACCAAAAAATGTGAGATAGGCAGAACAGAAATTCATAATCTCCTTTTCAAAAATGGAGAAGGAAAACACAAGGGAAAGTAAACAGAGAAGGGAGTCATCTACAATGACACACTCAGTGATACAACGTGCACTTAGACATGTGTGCTCCCCGCGTTCCATGACTACTGCTTGACTTCTCCCTCTAACTTTTGACCTTCCCTAAACTCCTCTGTCTTCCAAAAATACACCATAGGGCTTTGACTCCACAGTGTCCCTGCCTGACTTTAACAATGCTTATATATTTGGCATATAAGAAATTTAATAAATTAACTTGATGAGTTGTAACCTAATGAGACAACTATACTTATTTATTGAAAAGTATAGAAATTATATCTCTAACCAGTTTTTCCTTTATCAAAATAACATTGCTTTTTGACTCTCATTCACTGTATTGTCTTAGCAGACAGCAAGCTGATCTAACACACAGATCTAATGAAGACATAATATAGGAGATGGCTTCTTCTAAGATGAAACATCTACCAAGCCCTGGAATTTCCACAATTATAGGTAAGAGCGACAAGCAACCTCCCAAACCACTAACAGTAATGGATAAAAATTAAAACAAAACTTCTAATGTACTCACTTTTATCTATGCTTCCATAAGAATCACTTGAAATTTGTGTTCCAATGTGTCTCAACTCTAAAAACGTGGGGAAAAAACAGTTAAAAAGGAATATTGCATGTCAAAACAGAATTTTTAAGTAAACATTAACTGAATACTCACCCTTTTCATTTTTCTGTTTAGAAAATTCATCAAGCCTTTCCTGTGAAAACAAAACACTAAGAGTGTCTGTAATGGATACGGAGTGCAGCCACTCTAGACCTCACACAAGAGGGCGACCTGACGGGCACCCCTGACTGCTGTCATTGGGTGGCCTCATCCTGACTCCGTGTGATTAGGACACACTGCATGGACGGAGGATGCTAAGGAGCCCTGAAGCTAGGAATTTAACACGTGTGTGCACTGTTGTTGTCTATTACCTGTGTCTTCTTAAATTCCTTTTCAAGTATTTTCTTTTCATTCTTCAGTTGCTTGAAGTCCTGAGTTTGCTTGACGGCAGCCTCTTTATTTTAAGAGTGCAATGAAGTAAGAGAGAAAAATAATTTACCAACTTACAACTACCATTGATGAAATACTCAAAATCTAATCTATTGAGAGTTTTTCTCATTTCTTAAAACTTGGAAACGAATTTTATAAAAAGTTACTGTTCCTTCAGTAGTGTATCAGAGTCAGGGATAAACGCAGGAAAACTTTTTGTTTAAACTATTTATAAAACCTAAGAATCCTTTCCAATCCCAGCATAAGCCAACCCAAACCCTCTAGTGAGATAAGAATTCAACACACGAGACCTTTGGAGAGGCAGAGGCCACGGTTCCCTGTGTTCTTCAACAATCAGCAACATTTAAATTTTAGAGATTCAGAACTGTGGTTTTATCTCAGAATATAGTTAATACCATTCTCGTTATTTGGGGGCAGGGCCAATCTTCTCAAGGCCTACTAAACTGTTACTCTTTCCTCAAATTCTCTTTAACACATTAATAGTCCTAATTACTAATATCTTTATTATAGATATACTTTCAACATATTTTTATAGCTCTTCTCTGGATCCTCAGCAAATTCTACATTCCAGTTTTTGGTGCTAAAGCACCAAATGGTTCATATATACGATTAAGAATCTGACCAGCATTGACTTTACCTGAGCATGTTCATACACAATTGCTATAAAATGTAAAATCTCATAAATTACCATAGTAACAATCTTTTGCTGATTCCTCTAATAAGCTTGACTGTTTCTTTATCCAATTATTATGTCATATCACTTACTAAGGAAAGATATTTTTGTCACATGGAAAATAAAGGCCACACTTTTGCTTCAAAGGAATTTTGTTCTAAAAGCTGCATACAGTCACACAGGCATTTCAGATCTCTTTAAAAACATTTCCTTCAAGACACTTATCTCCACACTAGAAAGAGAAGGCAATACTTAGAAAGAACACAGTGGTGTTGTACTTACTGACATACTGTCAATGTTTGTGCAACAACTAAATCAGAGGAAAATTGTTACCAAAATATTTATAGTTTAAGTCTAAAAAACTGGACTCGATGTAGGTGAATTAACAACTCGAAATATTTTCAGCAACTTCTATTCTGTATGCCCAACTAAACTTAAATTCTTACTTCACACTCTAAGTGAAAAATAAGCCATCCTCTGGGGCAGAGCACTATCAGCATGATGAACGAGCAAGAGTAGAGGCAGTGAGCCAGAGCAGGTGGAAGACCGCTAAAGCCCACACTGGCATGGAAGGAGGAACACGCAGCAGGCCTGGGTCTGGCAGAGCCCGTCTTATCTCTACTTGATATTATTTCCATGTCTCAATCACCCAAAGAAGAGGTAAAAAACAAAAGAAAAGATCTTGAGTTCAATTCCTGAAAGCGTTATTAGCTGCCACGTGAGGACATACCAGATCCTCACATGCCACGTCTGCACTCTGCCTACTCAGTGTAGACCAGAGCCCCTAACCAGAAGATGGAGTGAGGAGAGACCAGGGAGAAAGTTGACAATCCCCACTGTAGGGAAGCTCATGGAAATCGCTCCATGGGTATGTCCTAACTAGTTAAATACATCAAGTTTTTTGGTACTAAAAGTAGTAAGCTTTTCTACTAACCACTTATTTCATTAGGACAAAATGAGAAAGCCCCAAGAGAGTCAACTTTCAAAATTAAATCCTTTTACTGATGCTACTTTTTACAGTAAAAGTATGGGCTGCTTTTATTTTGAGTGCAACAACATTTCAAGGATTTAACACATTCCATTTCCACATTACCATCTGGTAACCTAAAAGAGTGTCACATTCAAAATTCTTCCCAGTGGTACCCTTGATGCAGTCATCCAGGGATCCACCATCAAAAACTATGACAACTCAACTATTTGATCAAGTACTACAGCAATGTACAGTTACCAATGATTTGCATAACAACCAATGACTTCTATTAGCTAGAAACAACAGTGCCAATTACCTTCCAGCTTCTTCACCTTGGCTTCTAGTTTCTTCTTCCTAATAATACAATTTTACAAATTAAAATGGTAAAAAAAAACAAATATATTTACAATGTCTGGTACATATTTTTTTTAATTACTGAGATTTATATAACAAAGAAAATGTCAGTCACAAGCATCTACCGTCAACCACTGACATTACCAGTGACTGTTCTGAAGGCAGAGTGAACCTAAGAACAGTATGCCACTTAGTGTGTAACAGTTGTAAAACGGATTACAGAAAGCTGTCTTGTTCTGCCACGCCACGTCTGGCAGTTTCCCGGAACTGCACTGGCCTCACCTATGAGCCAAGCTGGTGTGTCCAGATAGTCTCCCAGAGTCAGTCCAGTGTCTAATTAGACAATGTTCCTTTTAGGAGCACATAGGGCAGGAGTGTTCACAACACCACTTTACAGGAGGCAGTGGCTGGAGAACTTCACTTGTTTTAAGATGGATTTCTGAGTCAGAGAAGGCAGGTAACTCTGAGAAAGAGTCTGAATTACTGCCATATCACATATACACTAAACTATTGTATGTGTAGCTCTCAAGTTTTGTGAATAATGTGAACATAATATTCAACTTCAAAATAATCAACCGGATGCTTCTGAATAGCCATTTTTATTAATGCTAACAAAAACACCCATTCTATATGATACTTGTGAAAGTACTGGTACAAAGAAAGGAGTTGATAATTATGTTTTCTTACACACAGATACGCATGCATGCACATATTACAGACTTTCTAAGTTCTTCCTCCATGCAGCCCTTTAACATACAATGGCTTATTTAACCCTCCTTATAATCTTTCAAGGTAGGTATAATTTCCATTTTACAGATATGGAAACTAAGACTGAGAGACTAACTAGTTCAATATCACACAGTTAATTAAAGCCAACAAACCCAAAGACAGAAAAAAAAGAAACAGTACTGATTTAAGGATTAGCTATTTTCAAAGATGAAAACCCTATTTGCACAGTAATTTTAACACCACTTACTGAGCATCAGTCTTCAAGCATTCTTCTTTTACACGAGTATATTCCTGATGAGTATCTTGATACAACTTTAGAGAACTCTAAAGAAGAAATAGATATATATTGTCAATTTGAAAGTTATAAACCATCAGTGATAGCATAGTCTGACCATGATAAGCTAAACTATTATCATTTAACAGTATGAAACTAACCAAATGAATAAATATATTAGGCAAGAAACAAAAGTACAATTCATTGAACATTTTTGTGGATATAACCAGATCCTTTATAGCTGTCATATGATTAATAGTCTAATCAAAGCTATAAAATTTAAAATATACTAATTTTAAGGTAACTCCAAATCTTCGTAATATTGAATAGCTAATATTTTTGTCTCAACCAATTAACATTCAACAAAACCTAAAGCAGTTTTAGAGCTTAATAAATACAAGCTATCATTACTACTAGACAAAAATACAAAACAAATCATTATATTTAATGTTAACTGGGAAAAATGTGTTAATACCAATCAATATATAAACCTTGATGGCACTGGAATGGGAAAGAAACTGTTACTGAGCATTACACCATAGTATAATGTGTTTATGATAATTCTTTAATCGCCAGAGCTCAGAGAGACGGGTTTTATGACCCCTTTTTATACATGAGGGGTCAGAGGATCCACAAGCTAACTTATTCTTCCAAAGTCACAGTGAATGAGTGACTAATTAGGTTTTATCATTCAGGTCTGACTCCAATGTTCATGTTTCCTCTCAGATATGGCTGATGAGATTATTATATAATCACAGTTAGACAAAATTCAATGTCACAGTTGTTTGTTTAACTTTCACTGCACAGTTAAATACATAAGAGACTTTCTATAGAAACTGGAAAATCTATCACTGTTAAAGTATGTAAGACTTCATTCAGATAGGTGCATGGCATTACTAAAATGGCATACTTTGAAGACTGAGAGGCACAAATACTATCATGAAAAGAAATGACAGAACAGGTCGAGAAGCCAAGAATCATTCCAGCTTGGCTACGACTTGCCACATGCAAACCAGCTAACTTTGTTGGCTTGAGTTTTTTTTTTAACTGTAAAAGCCACGAATTATCTTCTAAGATTCCTGTAAAAAGTAAAACAAAATTTATATAGAAAAGCAAGTTTATAGCATTTTAAACAAAGTGTTTTACTGCAACTTGATTTTGAAACAGAGAACATGATTTCTCTATCTTTAAGTTTGAATTTTTGCATGTTATTTTATGCTTCAAGCAAGAAAAACGTGGGCAGGGCCCGTGGCTTAGCGGTTAAGTGCGCGCGCTCCACTAC